AATGCAATGTGTTATAGCCATACAAAATTTTTCAGTCACAAAAAATTAGGGAGGAAGGAGGATGAGAAGGGGAAAGGGATTTAAAAGAAAAAAAGAAACAAGCTGTATTATATATTTCCCACTCCCCAAGATGAATGTAAATTATGTAGTACAAATATATACCAGTAAACTAAGTTCCTAAATACATTTTTAAAAAGGAAGTACTCATAATACATGTTACAGTGGAACCAACTCTGAAAACACGCTAAGAAGCTAGAAACAAAAGGTTTCTTTGGAGGACAATAAACAAGACAAATTCACAAGGGATATAAAGTAGATTCCTGATTACTAGGGACCAGGGGAAGGAATAGAAGAGAAATGGGAACTCACTGCTCCTGGGAATGGGGTTTCATTTTCTTTGTTAAAGAAAAACTGTGAATAAAGCTGAGCAAGGCAATGAGTGTATGCCTATGATCCCAACCACTTGGAAGGCTGACAAGCAGGATCTCCTAAGCGTGAGAGTTCAAGAGCAACTGATCAAAACCTGTCTTAAAAAAAGTGATACATAACATAAAATTCACCATTTTAACAATTCTTAAATGTACAATAAGAACATTCATATCACCATTGTCCATCTTTTTTATCTTTGCAACCTGAAACACTGGAGCTATCAAATACTCCCTCAACTCTAGCAAGCACCATTCGACTTTCTCCCTAAATTTTGAGTATTCTAGATATCTCGTATGAATGGAATCATATTTTTCCTTTTATATTTTATTTCACTTAGTATAATGCTTTCAAAGTTCATTAGTCAGCATTTCTTTCATTTTAGGCAGATACACACATTTTAGTTACTCATCCCCTTTTTGCTTTAGCTATTTTAATGTTTAATAAAATCTCATTGTGAGTGTATTTCCATAATGATGACATGACTGACTAATGATAAGACTCTTCACGTACTTATTTGCTCTTCATATATCTTCTGGTTTAAATCTTGTAGCCAATTTTTATAATTTTTTTTTTTGTACTGGGGATTGAACTCATGACCTCGTGCTTGCCAGGCAGGCACTTAGGGTCCTGAGCTAAATCCTTGACCCTTTTAGCCAATTTTTAATCAGGTAGTTTTATTTTCTGTTACTGAATTTGGTGAGTACTTTATATATTCTGAATCTAAGACCTTTTATCCGATATAACCTATATAAAGATTTTTCTCCATTATGATTTGTCTTTGCACTTTCTCTAACTGTGATGTTTGAAGAGTAGACTTTCTAACTTAGATAAATTGCAATTTATCAATTTGTTCTTTTATGGAATACACTTTTGTTGCTGTCACAGCAAAGAAATCTGTCAAACCCAACATCACAAAAAGTTTTTTCCTATATTCTCTTCTAGAAGCCTCATAGCTTTGGATTTTATATTTGGGTCTATAAACCACTATCATACACTATTAGTGGGAATGTAAAATGGTATAATCACTTTGGATGACTATGGTAGTTTCTTAAAAAGTTAAACACATACCTAGCATAGTACCCAACTATTCCATTTGTGAATATTTACTCAAAGAGTAAAGAAACTATGTTTATGTAAAGACTTGTATATGAATATTCTCATAAGTGCTATCTGTAATATCCCCAAACTGAAAACAGCTCAAATGTTCACTAATAGGGAGGATGATAATCACATTTGAGTATATCTAGAAACAATGGACTATTTACAATAGACTCACCAAGAAAAAAGAATGAACTATTCATTTATATGTCACATAGTCATATACAAAATGTTTAAAAAATAATACATATGGGGCTGGGGATTTAGCTCAGCGGCATAAGTGCCTGCCTTGTAAGCAGGCAGTTGTGAGTTCAATCCCTGGTACCAATGAAAAGGAAAAAGACAAAAAAAAAAAAAAAAAACCATACTGAATGACTGAATATGTTACACGCCTCCCCATATACCAGTCAAAACGCTAACAAACATATCTCTACTGATGCAAAGCAGATCACTGGTTGCCTGTCTAAAGTGGGAGGGATTACCAAGGGGCATGAGCAAGCTTCTGGGAGCAAAAGATATGGTCACTATCTGGATTGTGATGACAGTGGCATGAATATACACATATGTCAAAATTTGTCAAATTGTACAGTTTATTATATGCAGTTCACTGCATGGACATTATAAAGTTTTTAAAAAAGCAGCAGCAGTAGGATAAACAGCATAGTGTACAAATTTCACACTATGTTTTATAATCTGCTTGTTTTCCTTTCACATTATAAAGTTATAATCTTAAAACTTAATTTTCCTCATGAAAACTGTTGAGTCTAGATTTACTGTAGCTTTGTGGTAGAATGTTTGCTTAACTTGTACTAAGACCCTGAGTTTGATCTGTAACATGTCATTAAAAAAAAAAAAAAGTTGTGAATTTGTATACCCAAGATCAGAACTTGAACCAACATACAGCAACCTATGTGACTTAGCCAGGATAACTGCAATATACCTGGTGACTGCCAGTATACTATCCAGAGAATTATTATTCCTACAGTACATATCCAATTTAAGTTGCTCTGTCTTTAAATTTTCATTAATTTTTTCCCCCTAGAACATTACTTCATCATTTTGCAAACTGTCTTCCTCAGGAGTCATTCTGGGCACCCCGTCTAACCTCCATGAGCCTCATCGTGTATCAAGCATCTAGGGTATTTCATGTGTCCTAGGAGGGATGCAGAGATGAACAAAGTACGGCCCCTACCTTTCAACTTTTAAGGAACTAAAAACCAGAAATACACACAGATCTATAACAAGGCAACTGTATCTAGAATACTTAAAAGAAATAATGATAATGTCCTTTAGGAGATCTGAGGCACAGTCACTTGGAACTGGAGTAATAGAGAGACAACTGAATACTGTTAGGAAAATGCAAGTCATGCTCTAAGTAATGTCAGTGGTGTTGCAAGGTCAGCAAAACAGGTGGAGTAAAGGGAAAAGATGAGGATGGAAAAGTAGGTGGTAATACATAAGACACGATTTCACATATAGGAAAGGGAAACTGGAATGATTTGAGCCAACTATCCTAAGAATTTCACTGCGGCTAGAGGATGGGAAGGACTAGTTAGGAAAGGAACCTGAGAGGTAATGACAGTCACAACTACAACAGACCTAGCAAGAGAGACAAAATAAGACCCTAAAAAAGAGAACAAATCAGAGATATTTTATAGGTAGAGCTTAATCATGGATTTAAGGAGGGGAGAAACTCATAATAAAAATGGCAGGAATCTTAAAAGGCCAGAGCCAGGGGAAGATGCCTTAAATCATCCAGTGTCAACTTAGCAATAGGTTTTTTAAAGTAGAAAGGTCATTTTTAAATTATGGATCACAAATATTTAAAAATTCCTTTAAATGGTCACATTATCAAATACAAAAGTTTTAATCGAACATTATTGATGTGTATTAATAAAAATATAAGTTATTGTCCTAACATTTTAATTTCCACTTCCATATGAGCAATTTGTACTGTACCTGTGCAGACAGTCCCATGCTGTACAAGCTATACAAACCTTGAGGGTAGAGAGTGAGATGAGTGATGTAGTTCATTTTTAAAATTATACGTTGTGGGATCATAAAATTTGCGATTTCGTTGAACAATGTATAGTTGAGATCTTTCCATATTGACACCTACCTCAATATTTTAAATAGTTGCACAGTTACACACTGTCACATAACTTCTTTTATAATTATGGGGTTTCTTCGCTGCCACACACCATCGGTTATGAACATTGCTGTATATAAAATACGTTTTGGGGCTGGGGATTTAGCTCAGCGGCATAAGCACCTGCCTTGCAAGCAGGCGGTCGTGAGTTCGATCCCCGGTACCGATTTTAAAAAAAAAGATAAAATACGTCTTATGCGCGTATAATCTGCATTCTTAAATTCTAAGACTCAAATTAAAAAATTTAAAGCAATTGAGAAAATTTAAAATATTGATTGATCCTGTCACATTGCCAGGACAGGGAAGAGGAAGAAATTAACAGTTTTGTAGGTGGGCAACCTTGCTGCTGCTTTTTTTTCCAATTCCTGCTCCGCGATAAATCAGTGAGGCCAGGCGATCAGGTCTAGTCAACTCTCAAAGACTGGCCCTGAATCTCAGCCCTGGGTCCTTCCCTTCTCTGCAATTTTGCCTAATTTCTGCCTGGCAGAAAATTAGGAAAATGATTCCCTCCGCATCCACATAACCTCGTCATCATACTTGGCGATACTCTCGCCCATGCTCCAGCTTCGAGGTTCTCTTACCGATTGTTCTCATTTAGCAGGCAGAAAAGGGGGCCGAGGTGCAACTCCGCCGCCTGCTCTCGAAGCTCGCTGAGTGGTACAGCCTGTATCACCGATTGCAGCGCACGTAGCTCCTCCAGAGGAGCTTCTAGCCGTGCCACTTCCCTCAGCAGGGACAGCACCTGAGCCGCCATCATGCCGGCTCCTCCCCGCCCACCTAGCAGGTTCCCGGGTAGCTGCTCTAAATTTCGCGAGATCTGGGGAAGTAGCCGCTCTTCTGATCTGTAAATATCGCGAGATGGGGTTGTAAAGGGTCAAAAGTCACCAGTGGTTGGCGCCTGTGTTTGGCTATATTTGGGACAATGTGCAGTTGGTTACACAGCCGATTTTCCGGCTTGGTAAAGGACACAGAGAATGAACCTTCACCAGATGTTCGACAGTCGGAACGGAAAGGATGAGAACGCATCGGCAGCCATACAGCCTTTCGGAAGGCCCGCCGGCCCGTTAGCCGGACTCTCCGTGGTAGGGAGAGCGGCATTCCTGAGCCCAACAGGACTGAGCTAGGGAAGCAGGATGAAGGCGTGAGTAGTACGGTGCTGGGGCGCCTCTTTGGCATCGATGACTCAACCGTACGCTTGATTTAAAAAAACAAACCAGAGGGCCACTGGGCAGCGTGGAGAATGTTCACTCATCTGCTCGAGGATGCTGGACATTCCTGTGATGAAAACATCAAGAAGATAGAAAGTGCGTTGACTTTCAGAGGAAGAGCAGACTATCGGGGCGGCCTCTGACTCAGGTCATTTTCTACAGGTTAACCACAGTTGTTGGCGTCTAGTGGAAACCAGTGGTCAGGGCTGGCTAGATAACTTTCATGCAAGCAAGGGATTGCATGAGAAGTTTAAAAATCGCGGTTTGCAGTATAAAAGGTTAACAGGGGCAGGAAAAACCGTTTTATGTTGACTTGGCAAGCAATCAGAATATATATCACAAGCAATCAGAAAGACTGGTCAAAGATAGGCGCTGTGTTCCTAAATAGTTCTCAGTGCCACGGCAATGAGCCTGTTTTGGAAATGCATGCTTATTTTAAGGAAATATGCAAAAGTCCTAGTGGAAACTAATGACAGAATTTCTTGTTTCTGTCTGTCTCTTTCGCCAGTGCCCCAGTTAACGAAATAAAAAACCATTGCAGTTTCACAAAGACATTAGTTCCACTTGTCTTAGAAAAAGATAACTTGTATTCTGGTGATCACAGCACAAGAGTACTCATAACCATTGCCCTCTCTTAGATTTATAGTGTATTTTATTTGTATGTTTGATACTGGAGATCAACCCAGGCCCTCATACATGTTAGGCAGATGATTATTGCTTAGCTACATCCCGAATTACCCCCTCACCTTTTAAATTTTTGAGATGGTCCTGTTGCCCCATCTGATCCTCAACTAGCGAGGCTCCTACTAATTGTAACTAGAAAGCCTCATAATTGGGATTACTAATGCATCACCTTATCCAGCTTGGATTAGTTTGTTAATTGTTTGACCATGAAGCTCAAAGTTAATTTAGTAGTAAAAGAAATTCTGGATTCAAAGCATTGCCAATTGTGGATAGAAGTCCTGGTCATGAACTGATGGTAGATTTACCACCCTGGGCTGTTTGTCATCACTGAAAGCTCTAAAAGTTTCACAGTCACTGTTAAGCCCAGTGTTCTTTGCTCATTCTCATGTTGCTATTGTGTTTCTTCTTTATGAAGACACTGGCTTTCTCTTGAATCACTGGATATAATTAAAGGGCTCACAAGGTATTATATCAAGCATGTATTTGACCACTTTGATAACACCCTATTTAAAACACAGCTGATGATACTGTAATGTTGCTGATGCTTGAGTAGTAATAAAAGAGATGGGTAATATAAAACCAGCCATTATTGATAAAGGTTGGTGGAAACGAGAATACTGGGAGTGAGTCTGCATGTTTTCTTAGAGTTGAAGTTGGAAAAAAAAATCCTAGTCTGCAAAATGGAAGTGTTATAAATTCATTGACATCAAGGAAAATAAAATTAATGAGCTACTGAAGTTTGAATCATTGGCAATAACTGAGAGTATATTCATAGACAATAAAGAGGACCAATCCTCACCACCAAAGATGAAAGAAAAGTCTAAGGTAACTGAATGCAGTTTTGTGTTTCAGACCTCATTGGTGCTGTAGTTGTTATGGATCCTTTCCTGAAATAAAGTTTGTCTTTTCAGAAAGATTTTAGTAAATTTCTGCATACCTGTAAAAGAGCCTTCAAAATAAAGGAGTTAATAAAAGAAGGAAGATGATTAAGTGGGTGAGGAAGATGGCTACAGTGTGAGTCTGAAGGGAAGTTGGGATATTGCTCAGTCTAAGGCTGAATCAGAATCCCATAAGGCAGAGAAGGAGGAAAGGTGGAAAAATAAAAATCTCCAGGAGATCCTGGATACTCAGGCAGCTGTACTAAAACTCGGATATCTGAAGAAACTGCTAGACCATAAGAACTGGACTTCTGGAGTGTAGCTTTAGAATGGAATCCAAAGAGAATGAGGGGTCTGAGATGAAGGATGAAAAGGATCCAGAGGTTGCATCTTCCAAACAACAGTTCCTCTTTAGCATCCTTCTCTGGTTACCTCGGTATCACCCTCATCACTTCCATTCTTATCATCAGCTGCCAACCATTTTGTAGTATTTCTTCATTCAACATACACTGAGAGTGAACTTCACAGATTCCTGCACTAAACATCATCAGGAAACCATCTGAGTATTTGAGATAAATAGTCATTACATAGTACTTATTAATGTAGTGGATATAAAGATCATGGTTCTGGTTTATTTTAGTGGACTTGAAATATAAAGGTTTTATTAGGTCCACTAAGCTTCCTTTTTTCTAATACATTTTATACATAAAATTTTCAGTCATACAAAGATTGATAGTTGATTCTACTTGCTTTTGAAATGGTATTGCTTTACATGTTATAAAACTCTCAACATTAATCTCTTAATCTTGATTTCATACCTAGTAAGGAAATATTAATCCTTTTTTGTTTTTACCAAAAAAATTCCAACACTCACAGTTTAATGAGTATGCTTGAGGCTGCACACCAATAATGTAAACAATAGGATTAGGACTTCCACTGATTAACTTCTTTGTCATATACTTTGCCACAAAGTGCATAAAGCCTTCAAGAATTCAGCATAAAAGAGCGAAATAGTTAAACAGGTAGTTACAGTAAAGGAGGTTGTGAACTGACAATTTGCAAGACAGATTTGATTAAAATCCACCAGTTGTTTTACTTCTCCAGTTTGAAAAAATTTTTAATTGGTTTCCAGCATTTTCTATTTTTTCAAGGTATTTACATAAGTAAAAGTTACCTGTTTAAATGTACAGTTCATTGAACTTTTTAACACGTGTGTGACTACAACCAGATGAAGATAAAACAGTTCTCTTGACCTAATTGACCTGTATCCCTGTCCACTAAATCTCTTTCCCTCTGACCAGAGTTGTCATCATTTTTTGTATTTTTATTTTTTTGAGGTCTTGCTAAGTTGCCCAGGCTGACCAGAAACTATTGATCTTTCTGCCTCCACCTCCCAAGTGCTGGAATTGCTGGTATATGTCACTGTGCCCAGCAGAGTTGTTGCCCTTTTGAAATTAGGATAGTCTACTTTAAAAAGCTAGATTAAAAATGTGGGAACCTTGGCAAAAGTGGACACTGTATTCTCAGAGGACAACAGCTAGCTCTTGGCTTGTAGTTTTCTTATTTGTTTGCAGCTTTGTGTAATATGTATTAAATGCCTTCAAACTCAGTGTGTGGAATGTGCCTTAAGAAGAGGACTGAGTTACCTCTAAGCAAGGCTACCCAGAGTAGCTGGTCTGGAAAGAGGAGTAGGAAGCGACAGTATTCTAAGCCAAGGGAGGAACAGAGAGGCAGCGGCTATCAGTGTACTTCGCATGGCTTGTTGGTAGGCCCCTTTAGAGAACAGTGGGATGTGTTCCTCTTTGTGTGCTGTGGTTCCCGAAGGTTTGGTACTTTAAGAAAAGTTTGTCTTTATCTGTACATCTCTGGGGATTTTTCTTCTTCTCCTTTTTTTTTTTTTCCCCCCTAATGTTTAGGGAGAGAGAGACAGAGACAGAGAGGAGAGGAGAGAGAGAGAGTTTCTTCTGCGGTTCAAAGGATGGGTGTTTGCGGCTGGCTGCCGTATCTACCCGCCCTAAAGGAGAGGGGCAGGGCGCAGCAGTTTGCAGGCGGAAGGCGTGGGGTGCGGGGAGAGGGCAGTTAAGGACCTATGTACCCGCCCTCCATCCGGACTGTAGTTCACTGCCTGTGCCTTGAGCCAAACTACCTGCAGCACTATGAACATGCTGGGATCACGGTGCCCTCTGCCAGGCCACGCTCGGCCCTCTGTCCTTATATGCCTCTTGGTGAGTACCCCAATCAGTAGTGCTGCAAACCCCTTAACCTTAAATCTGAGGGTTGAGGGAAAAGGATTGGAGGGAAGAAGACGTTTCTCATAACAGCTCATGGGATTCTGAGCAGGGGGCAGGCAGGTAGGAGGTGAACTGTAAGAAGATCTTTGGAGCACTGCTGGTGTGGAGATTGTGGGGTGGTTCTCAAGGTTACCAGAATAACTTTACTCCACCTTGTGGGACAGGTGACTGGGCGGTCATTCTTAGAGTGGGGGAGGGGAAGGGGTGTTTGCCGCGGAAGTCCCACCTAAGCCATAGATCGTCTTGCAGTTACCATCTAATTTCTTTGTAATTTTCTGGAAGCTACGTGTTCTCTTCTTTGAAATATCTTAACATGTTTATCTTGAAAGTGAGACTACAGTAACTCCAATGGTGAGGGATTCAAGGGGAGAGAGCTGTAGGAGAGAGTCACAAGTTCAGGCTCTGGCACAGCTCTGCTGCTCACGTTTGGAGTGATCGCTTTTCTCTGGCCATTATTTCCTCCTCTATGAAAAGTGGTACGGATCAGTGACTCTTTAACTTTTGGGGATTATAAATCTCTTTTTTTCTTTTTCTTTCTTTCTTTCTTTTTTTTTTTTTTTTTTTTTTTTTGAAAGTTTTCAATTCGTACCCTGGGGAAATGTTGCATTTGATTTTAGAATATTTACAAATTCCTTAAAACTAGGGAAATTACTGGCTTAAAGCTACTGGATTAGGTAGTTTCTGAGGCCCCTTCTGCCCAGTTACAGACTAAAAGTCAACCATAACCTCTTTAAAAGTTATGTATATACTCGTAAGACCCAAAAAGGAAAAAGGCCTGATGAAATAGGAAAAAACAGAGTAGGTGGATGTAGTGACACAAACCTCTAATACCAACACTGGGAGGCTGAGGCAGGAGGATACGTGTTTAAACCCAGCCTGGGCAACTTAGTGACTTAGCAAGACATTGTCTCCAAAGCTGGGGTATATCTCAATGCGGAGGCCTTGAGTTCAATCTACGGTATCCCCCCCACCAAAAAAAGAAAATAACTGAAGAATACGTAAAATGTGTAAGAATGCATAATTATAAAAAATGTATAGTAAAACACATAAATAAAAAGTATAAAGAACATAAATATGAAGCCTTATACATACTTTTAAAAAGTAATGATAAATTTTTTCTCATTATAGTAGATGTTTCCTAATGTATTTTCCATAGATTTTGTGTTCATGTAATATGACTTTCTAAAATGCATTCCACTATTGGGTCCAAATTAACCTTTTATGCTTATGATACTTTGTTTATGTGGTTCATGGCCATTTCCCAAGTATATACTCTGTACCTGGGTTGCTCAGGAATATAGGAATAAGGACAGTTACATTGTCTTCAGACACTGCTCAGTGTTCCTTGGGGGGACAAAATCACCCTAATTGAGAAGCACTGGATTAGGTCAAGCTAGAAAGGTCCCACTGTGTCTGTTCTTAGCCTTAACTACTGCGATACATTGAACCTCAAATGGAAGGCAGGAGTCTTGGAGGCAAGACTTGGTTCTGTCACTGGGTTTCCATATGTTTTGCTTTGGTTACCTGCTCTGCTGAATTAAGGGTTGGCTTTGGTTGTACCCAAAGGCCTCTTTTCCTCTTAGTGTTTTGGCTATGTGCTCAACTAAGACTTCGAGTATGTTCTAGGTGGGTTTGTATTTAACCCGATTAGATCTGTGGCCCCCTTATACCTGTTGGCTGAATCACCTCAAATCTTCTTTAAGAGTGACTTTTAAGAACAGGCTTACATGTTGCTTCCCTCTCTCAGCCACCTTGCATTTTTGTTCTGCCTGGACCAACCATCCTGTGGTAAGCGCTGGCAGACTCCAAGCCTCCTTGGAGTTGGTTAGGAAATTACATCCACCTTACAGTGTTCTCGGATATCTAGGTCTATAAGTACTACTGACAGAGGCTGACTGTTCCCTCCCCGAAGTAGCCCTTATATCACGAGGATATTTAGTTATGGGAACTGCATTTCTTGTGTGTTCTAGTCTACAAGTATTGAGAACCTGCTGTGTGCCAGGAACTTTCTTGGGGCATGGTGAACAAAGATAAGTCACTTCCTTGACTGATGTAGTGATTACAAATTGCTTTTCCTGTCTTGTTTGAAAGCCTGACAACTCTGAGTTAGAGTGTCATAATCTTTAATTTCTTAATGAGATTTATAAAGGAAGAGGAAGTAACTTGTCAAGAGGCTACAGGCAGTACTGGCACCAGGATTTAAATCCTGTCCTTTATTATTTTTTTCCTATAATCAAGTTATCACTAAGAACAACCACTAAGTTTTCTTTCTTCTTGCATGGTCACTGGTGTAGAGTGTTGACTTGGAAGCAGTGCTGGAGGTGGCAGGAAGAAAATGGAAACCTTTTGTAACTGCCGTAGTCAAACTGAAGCATAAACATGCTACTCAGAGCCTGCCAAGAAGTAGGAGCCAGGGCCCAGGCAATAAATGTACAGCGAGGGGAGGACAGAGGTCTATTTGAGTGAAGCCTGAGCCCTGGGCTGTCAGGCCAGAGAAACAGACCTTGTTCCTAGTGGCTGAGTCATGGCCTGCCTGCTTTCAGATTGCCTCTATCTCTGTTATTTCCCCTCAGTAGAGAACGTTAGAATGAGAGTCTCTAGTCTATTTCATTTCTTATTTTATTTGTCATTTAAAGAAATGTTTTTTCGTCTCACATGGGTTCTTCCACCTTGCATCAGGATCTTAATATCTTTTTCCAGGGTCAGCAAAGTACCTAAGTAAGCTGCCTTCTGGTCTTTCCCCATTCATGACCTTTTTTTGTAACTCTACTTGGCTTGACTATATCATTGCTGCCCTACTTAGAAACTTCTAAAAGCATCCTGTCACCTGAGTATAAATCCCAAATTCCTTGGTTTGCTCCATTTCTGTTTAATTCTAGCCAGCCTTGTTAGTTCTTGATCTCTTGGTACTCACTAAAGCCCACACAGATTGGATATTTGATTTGTCCTTAGTACCTGCTCACTTGCACATGTAGTAATTTGCTTAGAATGGCCCCTTTCCTCTTATAATCTGCTTTTTAAAAAATTTTTTTTACAACTAGGGTCTTGCTGTGTAGCCAGACTTGCTTTAAACTAGTAATTCTCCTGCGTCAGCCTCCTGAGTGCTGGGATTATAGCTGTACGCTGCTGTACCTGGTTAGATTCTTACTGTTTCAGATCCAACTCAGCTGAGATCCCTTTGTTTCTGTTCTATGTCATACCTTCTCTTCGAAGGTCTTTTTCTGTTCTCTTCTAGAGCCTTCCTGTTGGATGTCCTAGCTCTTCCTCATATGGACACAGGTTATATTATTTTAGAATTGCTCTGTTTGCATACCTATGTTTTACATTAGACTCTGCATAGCAGCTGGCAGATACAGATGAATGCACATGAAATTACTCTTCCAAACATTAATAGATGGAAGAGTTTATTGTTCATTATAATCTCCACAGGATGACATCAGGTTAGTAGATTCCAGTTAGTATTGCCTGCAGTTTTGTACAATAAAAATCAATATGAAGTCATCCAGATTTGAGTTCAAATTCTGGTTTCACTGATTAAAGCTCTATGATTTTAAGCATTTTATTTTATTCTTTATTTTAAGGAAAATAAAAAATGTTATAACAGATACTAGAAAAATAACAATAGTTAATACATTATGTACTGTTATCTTCAAAGTAGTTACTCAAAGTACAAGATATGAGCATAAAAAATTCTCCAAAGAATATTAGCACAAGCCGTCCTTTTCAGTGAACTAGGAGAAACTAGTAGCATAACTGCTTTGTATTTTTTTTCTTTTCCCCTCCCTTTCCCCTTTCCCCCACCCTAGTTCCTATTTCTTTTTAAACAATTTCTTCCCACTTCACAAATACTATTGTACAATTTGGTTCCTATTTACTCTTTCAGTTGCTCACACTAGGGATATAATACAGTGTTTATATATGTGAGTTTGATTTATTTCACTATGGGTATGGTCTCAAGTTGTATCCATTTACCTATAAATGTGTCAAGTTTATCTTTCATTATGCCTGAGTAGTACTCCATTATAATAAAAGACATCTTTTTTATCCATGCCTCAATTGATGGGCATTTGAGTTGTTTCCAAGATTTAGCTCTTAAAAATGGATAGATTCCTAGACACATACGAATTGCCAAAACTGAATCAAGAAGATACGAAAATTCTAAATAACCTGGTATCAATAGTGAAATTGAAAATGTAATTAAAAACTTATCAACAAAGAATAACCCAGACTGTTGAATTCTGTAAGACATTTAGAGAAGAACTTATGCCACTAATGTTGAAACTCTAGTGAAATTGAAAGGGAAGTACTACTTCCAAAATCATTCCTGGAAGCAAGTATTATCTTAATACCAAAACTAGAGAAGGATCCAACCAAAAGAGATTTTAAGCATTCTTAAAAAATATTTGTGAGCCTCCATTTTTTTCTCATCTAAAAATTGTGAAGGAAAATATCTAGGCATGAAAACTTTGCATAAGCACTAAAACTCAGTGCAGGTCTCAGGGATTGCATTGTGGATCGGGTGAGGGGATGAAAAGATATCTCAGCCTTGGTCCCAGTCTGCTTGAGCTGGGAGTTGGTGACCTGTGCTTTTCTTTTCTACCGCGTAGATCGTGCCAGCTGCTTTTCTGACATACCCCATGTTCAGGACCCTGAGCCTACAGCTCCACTCAGCCATCATGGGCAGCTATGTCTCTGGTACTCACTCTGTTGTCTTCGTCAACTGTCCCAACGAGCAAATTGCCAGAGACATTGCCAGGTACAGTGCATGGGCACCAGTGCTGCTCCATATGTCTGGGGAGCCATCAGGATGCACCAGAAAGACACTTTGGGGCCCCTTGCATCTGATGACCTTGTCTTTCCAAAGGTGGACTCCAGGCTGTTTGGGGGCACAGGAAGAACTCAGCTGGATGATTCATCAGCTGACCCTGCTGCCAGGCCTGAAAATGCTGACCAGTCCATGGGGCATAAAAGGGAGGGATGTAAGACCTACAGAGATGTATGGCTTGTTGAAGGCATTAAGTAAGAGAATAGTGGAACCTTACAGGTTGACAATTTAGTTCACCCAATTGTTGGCCTAATTCTCTTCACTGAGGTATTCTCTTGCTTCATGGAGTCATTCCACATGTGCTGTTTATGAGCAAGAAGCTATTTTAAGTATTGGGAAGTTTCTGGAATCAGATGTGGTTATGTGGGACAGAGCACTGAATTTGGGATTAGGCTGATACTGACTGAACCACTGATTATATATGGACCTTAAGGGACCTTTGGGCAAGTTACTTTGCTTTGCTTTGACCTCCCTCCCCTTTTTCCTTGCCTCCCGTTGTCTCCCCTTCTATATAGTGTGTACCCCAGCAAATGGAATGTAGTTAATGCTCAATAAGTGTTGGTTGTATCTGGATTTCCCTTCTGTGAATAGTTGTACCTTTTTTAGGGTATTTGTTTGTTTGGGACAAGGTCTCACTGTGTAATTCAGGCTGGCCTCAAACTCGAAGTGATCCTCCTCGTGCCTCAGCCTATTGAATACTAGGTCTACAAGTATGTGCTGCTATGCTTGGCTGTTTAGATGTAGGTTTGAAGAAGACTAGTGGAGCTAGTGGCTTTTCCTTCCTTTCTTTTTACTTTACAATTTAGCGTTCTTGAAGTTGATGGTAGACAGAGTAATCCAGGGTCACAGAAACAAATGCCTGTAACTTAGTAAAGTGGGCTGGGGTGTGACAGTGGAGGATGAGGGTAGATGCTAACCCTCCAACTCCTGAGTGTTAGGAGAAAGGAGCAGTGGGAACTGTGTTAACCTGAGATGCACGATTCCTGCTAGAGGGAGTAGCTGCTGCTTAGCACTAGCTTAGCTAAAATGGGGCCTAGTGAGATTACAGGCTAATTTTTTTTTTTTTTTTTTTTTGTCTTTTTCGTTTTTATCGGTACCGGGGATTGAACTCACAACTGTCTGCTTGCAAGGCAGGCGCTTATGCCACTGAGCTAAATCCCCAGCCCCCAGGCTAATTGTTGTTGATTTATTATTTTGCAAGGAACTAGATAATCTGTATTTTTTTTTTTTTTTTAGTATGGACTATCCTGATATTAAACATTGGTGACAAATTCAAGATTTTTTAACTGCCAGAGGGCAAAACTGTGAATCTGGTCTGTGAGGCACTGGCCTATGACCTATGCAGTTTCTAGGGGCCCTAACAGCTCTGCATTTCTCTCTTCTGTTTCCTGGAGCCTGAGCCCTCTGTGTGTGGCTCACTGCTAGTTTTGAGTGGCTGTGTGTGTGCTTTAAAATTGAGGTCAGTAGGCCCAAGCACCCCGTCTTTCCTTTTTAAGGCCAAGGGGCCTTGGTGTGACAATCCCCCTTAGTTTTGCCATCTCTTCCCTGCAGACAAGTTGGTGTGTTCAGTCACTGAGAAGTTTGCACCCCAAAGAGATTGGGAAAGGCCTGTGAGGCAATGGGCTTAGTTTTTCTAGATGTATAACTTAACTCATCATGTCTGCCTGTCATCCTGAGAAAAACCATAATAGTGTTTTAGTGGATGACTGAGCAAGACTCCGAGCAGTTACCTAAAGTTTGTGCCACAGGTCTTTTTTTACACTGGGGAATTTTCCAAGAGAATAATGATGGCGATAATGTCTCATTAATATGGGTCCTTAAATAGAATACTCTCCAGCCTGGGACTCAAGGGAAGAAAAAAGAGGTCAGTTCTCTTGGCAACAGCTGAAGGAAGGAGGGATCAGTTACCAGGCCTCAGATAAGGTTTGTTTGGCTGGGCCTGAGCACTTCAGAGAACAGAGACAAGGCTCTTTAATCTTTCTGGGATCTGAGAAAGGTTTGCCAGAGCTGCCTGACCCTGAGGCCTTGAAGTAGATGCTTGGCTATACTTCCTTCTTGCTTGATGACTTGTTGTTATGCTTTAGGTCTGGAATATACCCCCGAAAGCCTCCTGTGCTTGGAGGGAAAGGTGACTGAATTATGGAGTGACTGAATTACTGCTGACTTGCTGTTAGGAGGTAGGGCCGGGTTAAGGCAGGTCACTGGGGGAGGACCTGGAAGGGTGTATTTCCTTCCCCGGCTCTTTCCCACTCTTTCTTCCTCCTGGTGCCGTGATGCGGGCAGCTTTCCTTTGTAGCAGCCTCTTCCATCGTGCCATTTCTAGTTTGAGCCAGCCACTACGAACTGAAACTTCTTAAACTATGAGCCAAAATAAACCTCTCCTTTTATTTGTGGGCATCAAGTACTTTATTCCCGTAACAAGGAAAGTGACTCAGACAGTGGTGCTCTTTTCTCTGTAATACCTGTTAAGATACGCCTTATTGTGTTCATCTGAGTTCTGCACAGGAAACAGAGACTGAAAGTGATTGGTGCTTTAGAGATTATCTGGCCTGGGATTTTAACCTATATATGTGAAAAAAAATTTTAGTGGTCTGCAGAGGAGGTAATTCTGCTCTTCAGACTAAGGTAGAAACCTTTTTTTAAAAAATGAAAAATGAAAAAATGAAATGAAATCAAAAAGGGAAATCCAGACTAAGGTAGAAACCTTTTTTTAAAAAATGAAAAGTATGTTTGCCAAAATAAACACCGAGTATGATCTTGTTTGGTTTTACAGAGTTGTATCAGCTGTCTGGGGTCACACAGATGTCTACAGATCCAAAGCACAGCATGTCATGAAGGTGCATCTAAGAGTTAAGGGAGAGGTGGTATAGTCAGGTAGTTCTTGGTAGTAAGAAAGTTTGAAACCACCGACCAAAATTGTTCTCTAGTACTGCAGGAGAGATTGAGAAGGGAAAGATGCCTGTCAGAATATATCTTCAAAAACTTATTTCAAGAAGGAGAGGGAGAACTTGCCTAGGGTCACACAGTCATCCTACTGCAGGACTGGGAATGGAGCTGAGTGTTAATTGATTTCTGTATCCCAGAATATGTCCTTAAAACTGCCTAGCCATAGCTGCTTCCCTACTTCATACCCAGGAAAGGACTTAGCACTAGCTCTGTATTCAGAGGTTCTGTGTGTGGGGGTTATAGAATGTGCTAGTTTGAGGAAGGGAGGTGATGAGTTGATCTCTCAGTCTGTTTCTGGTTGCTGTCATTTATTAATAATAAAAGTTCATTAATATTTCTGGAGGCTAAGTGTCTTAGTTACTTTTCTCATTGCTAAGACAAAATACCTGACACCCAGACTTAAAGGAGGAAAAGTTTATTTAGCTCACAGTTTGTAGAGGTTTTAGTCCATAGTTGGCTGGCTCCACTGTAGGGTGAGAGACAGAGGTATCATAGAGGAATAATCATCCCCAGCAAGTGGGCAGGTAACAGCACATTAACCCTCTTTCTATTGCTTATATTTTATGGCTAACCACCCTAGCATGGGTATAGCACTCCCATCCTTAATCTTAGCCAAATCTATACCAAACCAATCAGTGGACCAATTTAGTAATCACACACCTTTGATATCAGCACAGCACATCCTAGCTGCAGCCACCTCTGAAAAGCATGCTTTCTGACTGACTGCGTGAGGCTTTGGAGGGCTATCTAGACACAAATCATGACACTGAGGAATCTAAGAACACAGTGCTGGCAACTTGTGATGCCTTCTTCCTACATTATAACATAGCTGAGGATGTCATGTAGCAATGCAGAGCAAGAATCTTGCTTGGTCTCTCGTTTTTCCTAAAGCCACTTAATGCAGCCAGTTATGGTGGCACATTCTTGTAACTCCAGCACTTTGGGAAGCTGATGCAGGAAGACTGCAAATTCAAACCCAGTCTAGGGAATAATTAGCAATTTAGCAAGAACCTATCTTAAAATTAAAAAATAATAAATAGACTAGGATGTAGCTCATTGCTAAGGCCCTGGGTTCAAGTGTTAGTAACATACACATAGCCATTAATGCCATTTTAGACCACCCTCAAGATCTAGAGGATTAGATTTCCAACACATGAATTCTGGGAGTTCTGGGACATACTTAAACCCTAGCATTCGACCTGTGGCCACCAATGTTCACCACTTTCTCACATGCAGAATACAATTCTTCCATTCCAATAGCCTTGAAGTTTTAACTGGTTCCAGTACCATCTCAGAAGTACAAAGTCCACTGTCTCTTCTGAGTCAGATTTGGGTGAGACTCAAAATATCCCTGAACCAAATTTTCTCCAGCCATGAGCCTGTGAAATCAGACAAGTCACCTGCTTCTGAGGTACAATAATGTAACAGGCAAAGGACAGACATTCCACTTCAACGTGGAGAGACAGGCAAGAAGTAGGAGTCACTGGCAGCTTATACGTGTAAGCCCAAAACCCAATAGGATGAACAGTAGTAACTCTGAAGGTGCCAGAATAATCTTCCTTGAGTCTATGTCTTCCTACCTGGCTATAGTGGGCCCAAGACTTCTAGGTCCTTGGGCTACCAGGCCTCGTGGCATTGCTGGCTACACACCAAATTCAGCTCACTATGGTTGGTATCACATGAGAGTAGCTCTACAGTCTTGGGTCTCAGTGACAGGCAGCCCCTGTGATTCTTACAGGCATTGCCTTAGTGAGGACTCTGCTACTGCTCCAACCCATTTCCTCTCCACTAAGTACTTTCCAAAGGCCCCACCTACAAATACCATTAGCATACTACTTTGAGCTGTAACTGTCAGTGAATTCTGGGGCCCATACCAAAATCATAGCATCACAGAGACCCTAAACAGTGGTCTACTTAGACTCAAATTTCCAGGATTAATTTGCACTAGTCCAGTCTTCCTTCTCTGAAGACCCTGAGACGTCTAGTGACTACCTCCCTTTTACTTTGTTCTAGAGCAGTACTGGAGAAGAAGCTTGCTGCCTCTGTGAACATCCTACCCAAGGCATCTTCACTGTGAGTTTTGCCATAGCTGACTGAAGGAGGGGAATTGGGAGTCAGGGTTAGGTCTTGGCTGCAGGGAATTGTCAGAGAATAATTCAAGGGCAGTTAATCAATAGTTCACAGCTGATTAATATTCAGGGGTGATCAGTCAGTTTATTTCACTTACAAAAAGCAAAACTAGGCTGTTTATAAAGAAAGGAAGAAAAAAGTGATGTCATTCCCTAATTGCTCACATATCTAAAGCAGCAGCTCCCAAATTTGGGTGTAATTCCTATTTTTGAGCTTCAGCTTCGATTTACTCAGTCTGAGGATAGAGTCCAGTTCTCTGAATCTTTGTTTTTGCAGTGCTGTGGATTAAACCCAAGGCCTTAAAAATACTAGCCAAGTGCTCTAACACTGAGCTGCGTTCCCACCCCCCAGGTCTCTGAATCTTTTAAAGTTGTACAGGATCTAGTCATGTGACTCAGTGGAAGGTACCAGTGTTTGGTAACTGAAGTAGAATATCAGCCTAGCATTGCCTTTGTGTGTACATCCTTGCTCATAATAGATTCTTTTAACACAGCTGTATGACACTGGAGGGTCCATAACCCAGGTCCCTGGTGGCATACTTTTTAGAGCTTTCAATGATGCAAATAGCCTGCTATGGCCATATGCCATAGGTTTGCCACCACTGGCCTAGGTAATTTTAGGTTTGTCCTGAGTTGATGTAGATCTGGGGCTAAATCTCTCTTTTTCTCATGATGTTATTCTTATACTCTTTTCTGAAATGTAGTGACTTTATTTTTAACTTCTGAAACTTTCCATATAAGACTTTCTTCTACCCTGCAGCCATCTGAGGTTTTAAATTTTTCCATTCATGGGTACTTAGCTTTGAGAGTCAGTAGTGGCATCAAAGTTGTGCCAGTCCAGAGGGTGGGGAGGGGCTTGGAAGCCATAAGTAGAAAGAGCATGGGGAGAGACACCTGGCTTGGAAGAGTGAGGAAATACCCGAGGACTGGTGTGTCTGGTACTGGTGTGTCTTCTCATGTAGTTAGTTGCAGGAAACAACTAGGTAGCAGATGTTGGCATTCTATAAGAGCAAAGCATCTCTAGTAGTATTTCAGTAGCAGAGCACTAGCAGAGTCTAGCATTTGGAAGGCCCTGGATTCAACCCTCAGCATTGAAAGGAAGGGGAAGGAGTAGGGAAAGGGAAAAAAGCAAAGGAAATGGAGGGAGGGAGAGAGGGAAGGAGGGAGTACAAAAGAGGGAAGAAAAATCCTATGTAAAAACTTTTATATTTGGACTTCTTCAAGGAATGGAGAACCAGAGATATAGCCCAGTGGCGCAGCTCCTGCCTGGCTAATGCAAGGTCTTGGGTTTGATTCTGGTAACCAAAAAAAAAAAAAAAAAAAAAAAAAAAGAAAGAGGAACTTTTTGCCTCCAGGAATGTTCTGGCAATGTTAGATGTGTACGAATGGTTGGGCTAGATGACCATGTGGTGTTGGACAACTCTAACCTTCAGTATATGGGCTTGGGCAGATTTTAAAGTTTCCTCTGCAGTGGGTCACCTACTTGGACCAAATTTGACATTTCACTGGGTCATCTTGTGAGCATTATAATTTGGTTTTGTTCTGCTCTTCAGGTATTTTTGGAAGGGGGAAATAGAAGAAGCCACTGAGATTTTGTTGGTGAGTGAGGTGGGGCAGAGGAAGTCTTAACAGGGGAATGAATGAGACAAACGCTTTTTCCCAGGTCCTAATTAAAAGTTAGTGAAGATCAAATGACTGAAGTTCTTGCTCACCTGAGATGTTCAAGGCTGATCTGGGAGCCAATGAGTTGCCCGGGTGACCTGGGAGAAATACTGTCTCTTACGCACCCAGATGAATGAGCAGGGATGGAGCTGAGGCTCCAGTCCTGCAGCAGTGAATTTTTCTTTCTTTTTTTAATAGTTAATAAAGACAAGGACTTCTAAGGTGCCCATTCTCTCCAGCTATATCAGGTAAGGCTGGCATCTTTTGTCACTCATTTAACACAAGATCAGCCTTGGATGTCCTGGGGACCAAGTTGAGCAGCAGGAGAACTGGAATTGAACCACCAGCTCTGAAAAAGTCCTTTTTCCTATCTTTGTGTGTGTGGTGTTGGGGATTGAACTCAGAGCTCATATACAGTAGGCAAGTATACTACCACTGAACTGTACCTCCAGCCCCAAACATGCATTTTTATAGAAATAAGATTTTCCAAAAACAAGGAATTAGTGAGAAAAATGAAATCATTTCATATTTTTTTTAAGACCTGGCTTACTAAGACACCTGTATCTCTTTAGAACCCTGTTGGGACAATGTTATGCATTTGATAAACTCAGATTTTCTAAAATTCTTAAATTTTTCACTTTAAAATATTAATGGAAATAAATGATATAAACAGTCATTATTTGACTTATGGACTTTGTTCCTAATTAAGAAAATGGCTACCTAATACTCAAAGGAGTTATCATAATTTCTCAGTTTTACAAATTATGGCAGAGCAAGAATGTTGTTCCAAAAACAGTTGTTTAGTTTGCCTATAACTCAGGTACACAAGTCTGTAACAGATTTTTTTTCTTTTGAGAGGGTCTTGCTACGTAGTCCAGGCTGGCCTTGAACTCACTTTATAGGCTAGGCTGGCCTTGAACTGCCTCAGCCTCCCAAGTGCTGGGATTATAGGCATGTGTTACCATACCTGGCTAACTTTTGAACCTAGGTATACAGCAGAAGTGCTTTATGTGTACTTCCCATATTTCCTCTCAGAATATTACAAAGACACATAGTGAAGGGCTGAACTTTAATAAAAATAGTAATCTTTACCACTTCAAAGATGTTAAGTAAACTGTTTAAAAATACATGTGTGTGTTGGTAAAGAATACAGTGAGTGAGTACAGTCAGTGGCCCTGTCTTGATTCATACTAAGGTACCAGTAATGTTACCCATCATTTCTAATGCACCATCAAGCAAACAACATAGGAAAGAGATGAATGACAAAGTAATGTTACAGTTTTCCTGAAGCCCACATCCTCATGTTTCCTTAGTCTGGAGAGTGACAAGACCCAGGAAACAGTGAAGATAGATTACTGTGGCCTGAGAGTCAGTGAAGACACTTTGGAAGAAGTCAGTGGTGGCACTGACCTTGAGGAAGAGAGAGGCTTTGGACCAACTAACAGGATCAAGAAAGCTGTTTTGGGCTGGGAGGAACACAGTGATGACTCTGGGGAAGGGATGGATAGGGCGAGACATGGTGACCCTGGGGAAGACAGGGATGCACTGAGACTGTGGTGACCCCAGGGAAGGCAGGGATAGGGTGAGACAGGGGTGACCCCGGGAAAGACAGGGATGCATGAGACTGTGGTGACCCCAGGGAAGACAGGGATGCATGAGACTGTGGTGACCCCAGGGAAGACAGGGATGCACTGAGACAGCGGTGACCTCGGGGAAGACAGGGATGCACTGAGACTGCGGTGACCCCAGGGAAGGCAGGGATAGGGTGAGATAGCGGTGGGACCCCGGGGAAGACAGGGATATACTGAGACTGTGGTGACCCCAGGGAAGGCAGAGATAGGGTGAGACAGCGGTGACCCCGGGGAAGACAGGGATGCATGAGACTGTGGTGACCCCAGGGAAGGCAGGGATAGGGTGAGACAGGGGTGACCCCGGGGGAAGGCAGGGATAGGGTGAGACAGCGGTGACCCCGGGGAAGACGGATGCATGAGACTGTGGTCACCCCAGCGAAGACAGGGATAGGGTGAGACTGCGGTGACCCTGGGGAAGACAGGGATGCATGAGACTGTGGTGACCCCAGGGAAGGCAGGGATGGGGTGAGACAGCGGTGACCCCGGGGAAGACAGGGATGCACTGAGACTGTGGTGACCCCAGGGAAGACAGGGATGCATGAGACTGTGGTGACCCCAGGGAAGACAGGGATGCACTGAGACAGCGGTGACCCCGGGGAAGGCAAGGATAGGGTGAGACAGTGATGAAACAGTAGCCAACCTGTAATGAGCATGAGTGCCGATCAGATACTAGGCAAGTTCTTTGTCTACCTTGTCTTAGTTTTCATCCATCCCATTACATAGGCAGTGTTTTTTTTATCTCTTCTTTTGTAGCAGCCTTCAGAGAAAGTAAGTGACTTGTCCATAGCCACATAACTGGTAAGGGCCACCTTAGACTTTGAACCTGTATCTGTGAGCCTCTTAGAACTATAATCCAACTCACAACTGCTGACGATTGGAAAACTTGGCCTCAGGAGTAGTGGCTGTGGTGCTGGCCAGGTGGGTTGTGGCTGACTAGAGGGCCTCCTGTGGGGCTGGCCAGTTGGGTAGAGTCTAATCCTGGTCACCTTCTTCCCAAAGGTCAGTGCATCCCTTTGAAATCCCAGAGGTCTTCAGTCTTGCCATGGATCAAGGAGATGTGCACTATTTGAAGTGGCTTGAAGATAGCATGGAGGTGGACCGAGTGGGGTAATCTTGTGCATCTTGCTGACTGCTTCTGCCCTTCAGTGGCTGCACTCTGGGAGGAGTGAGTCTTCTTGCACCTCCTAGAATCTGTGGATTCTGTGTCTCTCAGCACAGAGGAGCAGCTAACACATGTTGGCTGAGAGTCCGTGGTTCCTGAGGCTGGAAGAGATGAACTGCTCCCCTGCTGCTTATGGGGAGGAGTGGATCCAGTGACCTTGCTCACTTGAAAGTGTGTGATGCCTCTTTGAGGGACTAGGCAAGTGCAGTGCTCAAAAGGATGAGTTGTAATAGTGGAATTTCAGAGATCAGTAGGATTACTTCTCCTAAAGAGGCTTTGTTGCTCCAGAGTCTTGAGGAAGTGGCACTGGGGATTAGGGCTGAAACATGGTCTCATGGACTGGCAGTGTCTTGACTCTGTTTCAGTGTGACAGACATCGCAAGGTTCTGGTGCCTTGCTCAGTGACATGTAGATTCTAAGCTCAGAAACTAAGCCCTGGGAACACTGAGCTCCAGGAGTTGACAGAGCTCCCTGGTGCTACTGAGGTGCAGGTAAGGTTGGAGGTCCCTACTCTACATGTGATGCACTGTGACTTTGCTTGTTAGCCACTGAGCTTCCTTCTAAGACTCGAGGATTTTTTGGGAAAGTTTTCTTTGTCAAAGGTTAGTAAACCACTGCTCGAAGCTAGTCACCATTTTATTATTAAGGAAGACTGAATTGCGCAGATGTCCAGAAAGGCAGTGGCGTGTGGTTCCACATGGTGCTTCAGTCTCGGCTCATGCTGTGTCAGCTCCATGGTGGAAGAGCACAGGAGGGCAGAGTGCTGGGTCCTAGCAGTGAGAAATTTGACTCACAAACTTTCACAAAGTAACTCCATTTTGTGGGGACCACAGGCTGTTAAGGTAGGAAGCACAGGCAGCTATGGTACGCAGGGGCCCCTGGAGGGGCAGAGTGTGAGCCAAGTGTGCCAGTGCTAGTTCTGACACCTGCTCTGCCTCCCTCACCTTAGTACTCCCAGATATGAAATGGGAGTGATGTCCAAGGACCCATCTATGAAAACATTGTAGGAACTGTTAGCTGAGGCGCTTCCAGGGGTCCAGAGGATGCTACTAGGGACTTGGGGAGCTGCATGGGGAGAGGACTGGAGAATGCTAATGGTGATGTCCCTTGATCTTTTTTTTTTAATTGATCAGTTTCTGACACATATGCAAATCTTGTACAAAATAAACACTACTTAAAATGCATTACAGTTTCTTGTTGATTGCCTGTATTACTTTTAGGATAAAGTCCAATTTCTTAGTTTTTTTTTTTTTTCTTTTTGAGACAGGGTCTTGCTATACAATTCAGGCTGGCTTTGGGCTCACTTTGTAGCCCAGGCTGGTCTCAAACTTGAAACAATCCTCCCACCTCAGCCTCCCAAGTGCTGGGATTACAGGAGTACACCACCATGCCTGGCTCTAAGTCTAGTTTTTAAGGCCCTTCAGAACCTTGCCTCAATTTACCTCTTCCATCATCATCATCTCCCTCAGACAGATGGTTCCTCTGCACTGTGTGATGTCATTCCTGTGCTCCTGTAGTCCCCTTTCTACCTGAATGCTTGTGAAATGTGGCTGCTCCTTTGTAAAGCTTGGTTCCCCAGGTGGAGTGTGTTCTGCCCTGGTGTTCCTTTTAGCTTTGTGCATTTCCTTTCTTGGCCTTGTATTGTTGGGTTGTGACCTGCTCAAGGTCAGGGGCATGTATGTCTGAATCTGTTTAATCTGTTGTACACAATTTGTTAAGTATCTCTGATTGATGTTTCAAGGACTTAAACTTTCTGCCCAGTACAGTTTCTTTATTAAGTTGTGGCAATGGAGAAGTCTTAACTTTTTTCCTTGAACTTTATTAAAGGGGAACTAATTCCAAAGGAAATTTGTCTGTCTGTGGTCTTTTTTTGATTCAGTTTCTGTGCTACATTGCTATCAGAAAACTTTTTGGTGGTTTGCATTTGCCTAAGTGTCTAAATTGACTATTATAGGAAATGGGAGTGGAGAGGGACAGTTACTAAGCATTAGCTCTGTCAGCAAGGTACTGTCCTATCGTCTAAGATCTTAAAAGTTATGCTTGTTCATTGTCCTCCTTTGGTAGGTGAAATCTGAGAACAGAAAGCATAAGACACTTCAAGCTAGCAACCTGAGTCTATAATTCTAAACCTAATGTTCTTACTACCTTTGATTCAAAGAAACTAGATAAAAATCCCTGTAGATCTAGAGAACCTGCTGTAGTCAGCTCTAAAGACTATTAGTTTTTAAAACATATCTTTCTATGTCAGTTGGTGTTGTGTTTACACATGTATTGCATCCCTCACTTCTCACCAGAGATCTGCGAGTTGATGATCAGTTTCACAGATAAGACTAGATTTAGAGAAGTTCAGTGACCTTTAGGATCTGTATGGTCACTGTCCCACACTGCCTTTCCAGGATGACATCGTAGAAGTCAGAGCTAGATCCTTGACCATTACCTCCATGTGAAAAATCCCTTTCTAGGATTTCTTAGGCAATCTGTTTTAAATCTAGAATCTCTAGAGAAATCAATTGAGGAAATGAAGAAAAGTCTCATAATTATCCTGTGAGTACTAAAGCTTATTAGTATAAAAACATTACTGCTTTGAAAAATCTACCTGTATTAAGCTAAAAACAGGAACACAAAATAGTAACATGCAGAGTTAGAGAGAGAACTGAGACGGGAGCATGTAAGAGAGCAAAGATTACCATCTATTTAGTCCTGCTGTTGGTTGTTACATGCCAGGAGTGTATATATCCTGTCCTGTCTGCTGCAATCAATGTAGGTAATTTTATATGCATAGTATACTTTATATAGATCCTATGAGTGGCACTCCAAGAAATAAACTTCAGAACCAAAATAAATTCTTAAGTTGCCAATTTGGATCCCTGGTTGATTTTATGAGCTGTTACCCTTTCTAGGATATTCAAATATTATTGTGCTTTTTGGGGCTGGGGATTTAGCTCAGCAGCATAAGCGCCTGCCTTGCAAGCAGGCAGTTGTGAGTTCGATACCCAGTACCGATAAAAAAAGGAAAAAGACAAAAAAAAAAAAAAAAAAGAATCAAATATTACTGTGCTTTTTGAATACATCCAGTAGATGTTCTCTGGCATTTTCTAGTCTTCTAAATCTCCTCTGCAGTCCTTTATAAATACTACTAACCTTAATATGCCTTTTTATTAAATAAAATATTTTCGGGTATCTTATGATGATGAAGAAAAAGCCTAAGGAATAAAGTATCTGAAGAATAACTTACAGTTTGGAGAATTCTGATTTTTTTGTCCCACAACCCCAAAGGTGAATGTTTGCTGTGAATTTGGAAGCACTAGTCCAGATCACAGAGGCAGCACTCTGTAGCCCAGTGGCCCACAGGCTTCCTGAGGGGCTAGAGAGCTGTTCACAATAGACCAAAACTTGACCAGAACTGAAGTCTTTTGACATCTAACACCAGTCATTTCTTTCAGTCTGTTGATTTTAGCCCAAAGAATAATCCCCACATCCCAGCTTCACTGTGGTTTTATTCCAAGGAAGACGACACGGCTGCAGCAGCAGATGTCTAAAGGCAGCTGTTATTAACACAACTAAACGTTCCACTCGGGGTTAAGAAGCTATACTACATCTCCAGAACTATTAGAATTCCACTGAACTTGTGTCCTTCATCTTTCTATACAGCTGACCTGTTCTTTATCCTTTCAATCTGTGTTTCTCTCCAAACTCTGAAATTTAGAGGCTTAAAGTAATAATTAGTAAACCATATGAAGTTACCCTCCCAACATGTGGGGAGCCAGGTGTCCCTGCGATTATCAAAGTGTTTCAGGTCATGACCAGCACAGCCAGGCTGTACTGTAGAACTAGCTCACGTTCCTGGAATTGTGTGCCTGGGTGTAGTGAGTGAAACTTGTAGTGCCTGTATTTATACATTTTAATAGGGTCTATTTTCCATCTTTTCTCTGTTACTCAGCTAATCCATCCCTCTCCCCCTAACCACTACACACCATGTATCAGGGATTCAGAGTAAAAAGGTTCCCAGATTTTCTCTAGCGGTAAGGACAGGAATATTGTTGATTGTAGACAGCAAGAGAGGACAGGGTCTAGCCATCATCCTAAGATTAACCTCAAGAAGCCACAGGAGCCACAGCCAGTTCATTCCGCTATTGGACAGGAATTTTTAAAGAGAATTTTTACATTGTAAACCAGACACATTAATTATAACTTTAATATAACAAATGTTATTAAAAGCAGCAATTCAAAACCATGATCTTTTTAGAAGGTGCACAGGGTTATTAAGGTCAGTTGGCAGTAATGCAGCTATTATCTGGTATGAATGAAATGCTAGGGTGGGGGGTCAGGTGACCTTGTTAGGCCTTGTGCTGTCTTCCCAAGTGGGCACCCCTTCCCTTCCAGCCCAGTCTCTGGAGCCCAAGTGGGGAAGGTGCTGAAACAGGTCCCACACATCCTGGCTTCTCAGGGGTCTGAAAAGCAGGCCTGTGAGCTTACTGTGCTTTGGGACCAGCAGGAAGCCACAGACTGCATCCCAGCTCCCACACACCTGCTGAGCTTGGGGGATGGCTTCCCAGCTCCCTTTCCACGTGGCCCCATTTGGGGGGCTCAGTGGCAGCAGCTGTGAGGCTGAGATCTGGGCCCAGTGCCTACTTGTCCCTGCCTCACTGTGCCAAGGATGCAGAGAGAAGTAAGCGGGCTGTGCTTAGGAGATAAGAGCCCTTTGAGAGGTACTGGAGGAGCCCAAGTTTAAGGCAGAGGCGGTCTAACCTATGTCAGAGAGCCTCTGAATGCTCACAGGCAGGTAGGGGGCACAGGGCTAGTATTGGAAAAACAAGCTTTCAGGCCTGCTGTCCTGCTGCTGCCTCTCTCTTCACTTCCCTTCGAGGTCCAGCTGGTGGGCTGCAAAGCCCAGCCAAGCTGGAGGCCACAGCAGCAGTTAGCAAGGCTGGTGCTAGTCTGGTACCCTTGTCCACTACTCCCAGTCAAGGCACTTTCCATTTTCCAATCAAGTGAGTCAGTTTCTAGTATCTCTGGAAGTGGTGAAAATGAGGGGTCCACCCCACTCCCCACTTAAAGTTTCTCTTGAGATGGGGCCTGATGCTGATGCCTTCTGCATCAGAGATCTGGCTCTTCACTCCCCAGGTCCTGGGTCCCGGTGTCTCTGCCACATGGGTTTTCCCAGAGGCCAATGCACACACACGTACACACACTCTCTCCAGGAGCAGGAGGAAGTGGCAGGAAAGGGAGGAGGCAAGCTCCACTTTCAGCTACTCTCCCTCATGTTCCCATTCTCAAAATGGGGTTCCAGGGAGCACTGCTGACGAGGGGTCAGGTGTGAAGGATTCCAGTGGAGGGACAGATGTGCACGTGGAGGATGTGTAAACACACAAACATACCCAAAACAGGTGAGAGGTGCAGGAATGGAGACTTAGGAACAAAAAAATTGGGTCTGAGGAGAAAGGGGGTTAACAGAGCCAAGGGCACACAAATTCAGAGGACCTAATGAAAAGTTCAAGGGGTGTGGAGTGTATAGACACTGAAAAAGAGCCAGCGGGACCTCAGACCCAGGCACAGGGGTGATGGGCCTTGAAAAACCAGAGAACTGGCAAAGCAGCAGTGCAGGTTTTGGCCTCGGGCCTAGTGAGCAGGTAGGTGGGGCCTTTGGCCAGGCACTTGCAGCTGCGGCCTGCCTCCCTCCCCAACCCCAGCCTGGGGAAAAGTGGGAGCTATGGCTTCTGCTGTCCCTCCTTTGGTTTGCAGGGCTCCTGGCATCCCCCCAAGAGGCTGTCAGTAAGGGGTGGTCCCTTCCCATTCTACCAGGTACTGAACCTTTCCCTCTGGTGTGACCCTCCGAGCCAGCACCTGGTACTTCTCCCCACAGGCCAGCCTCCCAGCTGCACCAAAGTAGTTGGTGATCGAGGACTTGAGGTGGGATAGAGATGAGTCATCCTCACTGATGCTCTCAAATGTATGGCTGTCGATGCCTTCATCTGGCCGCTCGGGTCCTGAAGCCCCCTCGGCACTGCTGTCTGAGGGGCAGTGTCTGCCCAGCTCAGCTGCCCGCCGCTTGGCCCGCAGCGGCATGTATGCTTTGGCTGCCAGCTTCCTCTTGCGGCTGCCCACTGTCCGTCTGTATGAGGCAGGGGAAGAGGAAGAAGATGGGAATGAGGTGGAACAACTAACAGTTTCTTGCCGCAAGCAA